TTGAGAGGGTAGAGAATATACAGGGGGCTGCCAAAAAATCAGGCCCCATAGACAATTTATAAACTACTGTACATTAAATGTTCAAATTGGTTGTATTTTTCTCTGAAACACTTCCTTCATCATTTGATGCATGACCTTTGAACCTTCCTGAGTACAGTAACATTTTCTCTGAATGTTTTTTTAAAAATTAATACTGTAAAACATATTGTGATTGGCCTATGGGGCCTGACTTTTTGTACACCCTGTGTATTTAGCTCAGGGTTGGAATGATGGACTGTAGGAATTCTGGGAGCTTGGCTTTTCATTTCCAGACATTTTATGGCTTGCCTAGGTAACATCTTCAACACTGATTTTGGAGAAGTGAGGTTTGTTGGTTAGTGGTGGAATATATCGTTGAGTGTCCTACAATTCAAAAGGAAGAGCCCATCCACACATCCTCTTTAATAACAACGATTATTGCTCTCAGCTTTCATTCTGAAAAGGCGGGCAGTGTAATAGCAAAGAGAGTGATTAAGTAATCAGATGAGGTGTCCTGATACTTTTTCTAAATTTATTCACATTTATATATTTAGAATACAAATACTTAAGCCTGGTTTAAGCCTCACAACACACTGAGTCAGGGATATGTACATTTGGGGATGAGAGCCACAGTTGGTCCAGGACCCACTCATAATTACTAGACAGTGTTAAATTGACAAATTGAATGAGAGCAGGATAAACCCTAAATTTCATTAATTAAATAGAATTAATATCTTACTCCATTTCTCCATTTTGTTTTATTGAAAATAATGTTTTGGAGGGAATTTTTGAAGGGAGGTGGCTACATTCGAACCTTTCCAGGGTCACATCCCTATACTAAGCCATAATTTGGTTTGCTTGGTTTATGGCTTAGCATGTTCGAGTCAGGCAATTGTGGTTTCTTCAGTAAACCAAATAGACTATGGCTGATTGTGAAGTGTGAAGCTAATAATAAGCTTTATTAATACTGAATCATGGTTCCAGTTTTACTAGAACACATCTCAGACTCCTGCACTCCGTCTTTCTCTCTTCTCTTACACAGCTGCCAGAAAGAAATCTCTACAGCAGTGTTCCTCAACCTTGGCAACTTTAAGATGGGTGGACTTCAACTCCCAGAATTCTGGCTGGCTGGGGAATCCTGGGAGTTGAAGTCCACCCTTCTTAAAGTTGCCAAGGTTGAGAAACACTGCTCTACAGTGAAGTTAGAATAGGACAGACCAAGGTCCAAATCCCCTCTCATCCATGAAAGCCCACACAACAATTGGGATATTCACTCTCTTTTCACCTAACCTACTTCCCTGGGTTGCTGTGAGAATAATATGGACCAGATAATAATAGGAACCATACCCATCATCTTGGGATTTAAATGAAGTACTTTAATAATGCTAGCCTGCCATGCAGGGATGTGGTTAGAATTATTGAGCTAATATTGGTGAAATGCTTTCAAGACTCACATGTATTAATTATGTGCTGGGTTCACAATCAATTATTCGTATTTAAAAAAACAAACCTTATGGATTATTTGACAACTGAATGCAAAGGTGTGTTCCTGGGGTTTCTATCAGCTGTGATTGAAGGGTGAACAAAAACTCAGATACGCTGTTAAGGTTTTATAAAAAAGGAGTATCAGACTCTGGGAGGGAGGGAGCAGAAATAAGATACAATGCCATTTCTTTGGTCATTATATTCCCATAATAATGTTCATTTCAGCTATTAAGTCTCTACAGCATTCAGAGTTAAAATTTGCTTCTAATACAACTAAGCATATTGTTTGTGTGTGTGTGCGTATGTGTGTTCCTTTAATGTTATGCTGAAAAATGTTCCCTGGATGAGAAATCCATAGAAGCTTGTAACAAATGAATCTACCATGGGGGATAATCCTTCTCTTGTTTTAAAAAAGAAAAAAACTAAGTAGCTATATCCATACTCCTTTCACATATACTGCATAGTCCTTTTAAAAAATAGAGGCTCAACTAAATACAATACACCACTGAGTGTTATTTTTATTTTTGGTGGTGGGCATAAGGGGCGCTTTGTTAGGGTTACCAGATCTGGCCTTCAAAACTCTGGATGATCTCAAGGTGGGAGCCATGAGGTACAGAAAATACTCTTCTTTATTTCCATTTAGTGGGATTTTTGGCAGCTCAGATCTGATAGCCCGTGGTTTGTGTGCGTGTTGTATAGAGAAAAGGCACAGCATGAGCTGAAATGTTGAAAAGAAGAGCTTAACCCCTTCGCCCTCTTTATACACAAATTCACCCATGAGTTACTTTCCACACACACAGACGCAGACAGACATAAAGAAAGCAGCTGCTGATGACAAACCCAAACACGTGGCCTGAGGCAAAATGATTAAAAAGCCTTTCCCCACTTAGTTGCTAGTGAACAACTATGGGCACAAAGAGAAAGAGAGAGAGGTTCCTTTACTCAAAATTCAAGCCTCTGATGCCTTTCATTTAAAAAATACTGAGACAAAATGACACATAACTTATTCTTAAGGGTAGCTCGTTCCTAAAATACAATCCAAGAAGCTGTAGCCCACGGCTCTATGCAGCTGTTGAACTGGTATTTTCAACCTGCAGAAACCCCTCCAGCTGTACCACTGGAGTTCAGTTTTTTACAATTCTGAGGCAGCAGACCCACAAAACGGATATATAAGCTTAAAATGGGCTTAGCAGCACTTTCGTTTTAGAAAAAAAAAATCAATCTTACTCAGAAACCATGAGAAATGCCTGCCCCTGCTGAGCTCTATGATCCATTTTGTGGTGTTGCTCTACCTCAGTGTTTCTCAGCCTTGGCCACTTGAAGATGTGTGGATTTCAGCTCCCAGAATTCCCAGAAAGGCTGGCTGGGAAATTCTGGGAGTTGAAGTCCACACATCTTCAAGTGGCCAAGGCTGAGAAACACTGCTCTACCTGTTGCCCACCGCCCCGCCCCCAACAGGTAAGAGCAGCCTGGACTTGGGCATCAACATTTCTCATTTTTGGCATAAAGAATGTTGCAGTTCATCTGGATGTTAGAATCAAGCTTACTTATGATGGGGAAGAAAGCAATCACTACATTTCAGGCAGGAAGGACAGAAACTCAATTTTTGTTTCTTCTGGCAAAAAGTTTCAGCTGGAAAATGGGGGCTAGATTGGTAAAATCATTCTTCATTTTTTTGACATCAACTGGTTTTATCTACAGCTTTCTCTAGTGGCTTTTATAAATCCCACTGAGGTTATAAACATATGCTTTGGAACCACTGATGGGGAAGGTGGTTCGGAAGAAAATAAAAGCTTGGGGTGGGGGAAAAGTTAAGCACCTGCTCTCTTCCTGTCTTCTATATTTTATGCTGAAAGAAACAGCCTTCTGGGTTTTGTTCACCAACATGTTCTTATAGTATAAATAGTTCTGTCTTTTAAACATGTACCGTGTCAGACCATTTGCACTTTCAGCCTATGATGTCTGAGATCAGGGACAGCTCAGTGTGTATTAGCAACTGCCAGTCTAGAATCATGGGGCTTGGAGAATTTCTTGGGCTGTAAGTAGCAATCAAACACAACACAAATCTGAGCTGCAAAACAGAAACTCAGAAAATGCCAGTGATTTAGATACATCACTTTATGTTGCAGGCTGAATTCAAACAGCAGGCAGATGATAAAGACATCTAGAACTGCCATGGCTTAGAGAGTTGATGGCAGCTATATGAGCTGTTCATCTATTGTCCAACAGAGCCTTATTCCGGTTTTTGCTGAAGTGAGCATCCATAGACATCTCTTCTGCAATTTATCTACAAGCACAGGGACTTGCAGTTTCATTGTACCACTCTGAGGTTATTTCATAGATTTTTAGAGTCAGAAGGGATCTTCGAGGGCATCCAGTCCAACTCTTGCTCAAGACCAGAATCTTGCATCTGCAGTCTCAGGAAAAGATAGTTACTCTGCTTGAACGAGCTACTCAGCTCAGCTCAGCTCAGCTCAGCTCAGCTCAGCTCAATCTCTATCCTTAGCTTAGCCATGGAGATTCACTACCTTCTGAGGGATTCTTTCAAGCAGCACTTACCATTAGGAAAAGTTTTCTGAAGGTTAACTGAAAGTTGCTTTTTTATTTACCATTTCTATCATTAGTTTTAGTCCTACCTTCTCTTCCATCTTCTACAGAACAATCGTTAAGACATTTGAAGACTGCTATCATGTTGCCTCTTAATCTTCTCTTCTCCGGTTAAACATGCCTGTTTTTATTTCTTCTATGTTATTTCTTCTATTTCTTCTACATAGACATGCTTCATGGCAACACTGTTCTGCCCACATTACAAAAAGATTTCATGGTACAATGATACTCTGTTAGAAAGGATTTTTTCCCCCTTAGATTTTATTTTCCTTGTATCTACACTATATAGTCACATAGCTGTGCATAACTGCAGTTAAAATAAAGTCAGGTCTCCCTCAAGTTACGGTTAATGTCATGGACCTGTCCACATAGTTTTCTTGGCGACCATATGGAAGTGGGTGGCCGCTGTCTTCTTCAAGGTTGCATTTTAATTCTCAGTTTAGCTTCTAGTCCTGAGACTCTCTGTTGGTCTCCCTCCTAATTTATTGAAGTTCAAGAAAAAGTCTGGCATGGCAACATCAGCTCATACTTTCCTTGCAGCTGGGTTATGTACACCACACATTTTATTTCAAACAAATGCTTGTGCATAACTGTGGCAAATTTACCAGTGTTTGTTGTAAAGAAACCAAAGTGATATGGCAATAATCTCCTGCAACTGCATTGCTGTGCTGGGTCTTGATTCATGTGCTCCACCCATTTTTTTTTTTCCTTCCTAGCGTTTTTCCCCCGGTACAGGGTCTGCTTTTTTTTTTTCAGATCAACCAAATTTTGCAACAGGAATTGACCAACTGCCTTGTCACCCTAGCCTGGCATCGGGGGCTGAGAGAGAGCGGCTGGCCCAAAGTCACCCAGCTGGCTTTCATGCCTAAGGCAGGACTAGAACTCACAGTCTCCTGGTTTCTAGCCTGGTGCCTGAACCACTAGGCCAAACTGGCTCTCTTATTTGTATGCTCCACCCATTGTTAAAATGTATTTAAGATCAACATCCCAGCAGAGCTGTACAGGTATGCATGAATTGACTGGACTTTTTTTTAGAGCAACCTGAAACAGCAGTGTGAACTCCTATTTCCACACTCCTAGCATGTGCATCCTACCCAAGAGTGAAGCACAGTCGACCTTCAAACGTCTCTCAGCAGTTACAGCCGTTGCCACACAATTTATTGATGCGTGGCGCTTGATTGCATTAAAAATAAAGAGGATGCTGTGTTGTACTTCTGCACGCTGCCAACCAAGTTGCAATTGCAGTTCTAAAAAAGAAATACCAGCATGGCAGTATCTCAGAAACAAAAGGGGTACAGCGTGTACTCTGTTCAAATTCTGAGGAAAAAAGACACGGAAATACTATCACATCCTTCCTCTCTTGTTCATCCTCACAGGCATTTAGCTGGTTCTTGTGAGACAAGCAGATCTTATTCTTAGAGAGATCCCCAAACTCTTGACTACTGCTGTGATTTTGAACCTAGAGAGGTGCAGGCCCTTTGGGCAGTCAAGTGCTAATTTGGGTTTTCAGCCCAAAGCTCAGTTTTTTATAAAGTGGAAGGAAGAGTGATGGTAGGTTTACTGTTGCTTCCAAGGCAAGACCAGAGAAATCAGGATCTATGCAAAGCATTGATTTGAGCAAAATGTTATTGCCTTCTATGCCTGAGGACAAGGGAGAAACCAGAAAGTGATGGCTTTGAAAAAGAACAAAACATTTATCATTTGGAGGCATAAGGCAAATGCAAGAGGAAGCTTGAGAAAGTGGATGTGTTTAGTTTCTCATAATAGCTGCTAAGGGAGGACACAGCAGCAGTTCTCACATCAGTTCATGGTTCAGCTGAGATGCAAAGCCGGCTCTCTTTGGAATAAACCGAGTGATTCTGCAGAGGATGTCTAAATAAATAATGCTACTCAATCCCCTATTTAATAAAAAGAAAGAGCTCATGTCGAAGTTGCAAAATTGTAGAACTGCTTTTCCCAACCTGATGCTATCCAGATGTTTCAGACTGGAGGACAACTGCCACGCTTCCACCAGGATAGTGTAGCCTTTGCTAAGGATGATGGGAGCCATTACGGTCAATCTTCACACCAACCAGGAATGAAATTACTTGGAAGCCCCATCAGACCCTGCTTTTGCACCAAGCTGGCAACTTTGCTGTTTCCACGACACTACCTCTCTCTGGCAGCCAAACTGATTTTCTTTTAGCCTGGCTGTGGTGCAGCTCAAATCTCAAAATAACCTTCTTATGATTGGCAATGCTGGAGCTCTGCAGGGCTTGGGGGCAAGCCATCTTCTAATTTACAGTAAGTGTGGCTTTACCTCACCTGCCACCTCCCCATCTTGGACCTCTCCAGTACAGGAGTCCACAACTTCTGCCGCTCAAGGGCTATACCAGGCTTTGCATGGCATGACAAGGACCATAATCCAAAAGTGGATGTGGCCAGGCCCTATTCTGGGAGAGGATTTCAAAAATTTTAAAGAATAAAATGGGTGCCTTAACAACCACAAAGTCTGAAGCATCCATGTTGCCCCACAGACCTCCCAGACTTCAAAAGATGCACAAAGAAGGCCCAGATGTTTAGATCTACCTGTTCTGGATGGGTTTGGGCTGCCATAGAAGGGATAGTGGTGGTGCAGAAGCACCCGCAAGTTGGAGGGGGGGATCAAAAAGTTGAAACTTTGCTGGATTATATATAAAGCCCACAAGCAACAGCGACTGGTACTTTGACACAAGTGGGATCTGCAACACAATGTTACAGCACAGAGTCCTCATAATTCCCACTCTCTTCACTCCCCTCCCCATTTTCCATTTCTTTCCTTGAGAGTCAGCCAAGATTCTGTGGCCCCTGAGCATGGTCCAACCAAGCCATTTCAGTGCAAGAGTTAACAATGTATCTTCCATTAACATACCCCATCCTCTTTTAAAAGCAACCAGAGAGAAGTCTGTTACATCTTCTGGGACAAAATGCACTAAAGATTCCCTTTGAAAGGAAGCATGTCTTAGCCAAGAGAGGAGACCTCACTGCTCAGCATTACTCACACACATAAGTGAAGCTATCCTCCTCTTCCTGAGATGGGGCTGCTGTAGTTGGCAACCATGGCTGGGTGGGCTGGAGAACCTCTTCCTCAAGTTCTTCCTGCTCAATCTCTTTGTCCAGGTTCTCCTTGCCATCTGGCTCCTTCACTTCCGTCAACATCACCTCCTGTGCATCCTCTTGGTCAGTCATTTCAGACAACTCCAGGACTTCTTGCAGATGCTTCAGAAAGAATAATCCACAAGGAAAGTTACAAAGTGGGAACACGGCATTCCCCTCTTGGCAATTTGAGAGGGGCACAAGCTAAAGCTAAAGGTGGTTGTCCCTCAACTTGTGTATTCTGTTTTTTTCCAAATACACACACACATCCATTTCATTCCTTTTTTTCCCCTTGTCTCCCCCCCCCCCCCCCCCCCATTTTCCTCTCTTTCCCAACTACAGTCATGGGAGGGTGGGTGGAACAGAACAGAACAGAAGGGAAAAAACTCCAGGGGGAAAAAAACACTTTCTTCTTTTTTACAGTGTTTTTTGTTTCTCCTGGGTCACTGTTTAGGTTTGGGGGGAGGGAAAGAAGGAAGGATGGTTGTATAGTTGGATGCATGTTAAGAAGGAAGGAAGGAAGGAAGGAAGGAAGGAAGGAAGGAAGGAAGGAAGGAAGGAAG